AGACTCCCCCACCATTCTCAACCGGCTCAATTGTGTCTCTACTCACACCAACCTCTGTGCCAGGGCTGTCTCAGGCTCCCACCCTGCTATAACCCCCGCTGCACCCCCTTCTTGGGCCCCACATGACGTCCTCGCAGTTCAGGTCTCTGCCCAAGTGCCCTGTAGTCACAATCTCATCTGTGTCCAACAAAACTATCTGAAATATACACCTTGCCCACCCCCCGCCCATCATTCTATAGCCCGGAATATGCTCCCCCACAGAATCAGTGGTCACTCATGTCAGAATAGTGGTTTTGGTGTTGTTTGTGTGTCTCCTTGAAGTATATTCTCTTTACAGCAGGGGGCTAGTCGCCTGGGCACCCCTTATGTTCCCAGCATGCAGGACAGACCCCAGTAATGTGTGGCTGCTCAGTTGCATGGTGGAATGAATGAATATAAATCATATAATGCCTTGGAAAAGCAATTTGACAACATGTGTGACAAAACCTTAAAAGTTCAAGCAATGTTTAAAACATTCTAGTAATTTCTATTCAAGAAATCTATGGTTTTAAAAAGTATAGAAAGATACTCAGATAAAAGAATATTAATTACTCATTATTACAGTGATTAAAAAGACACAGAGAAGTAGTTATATTCTCGTTAACAAATAAAATGCGGCTGGCAAAAGCATTTAAGAATAGGATTTACCAAGTGACCCAGCGATTCCATTCCTAGGAAACTTCCCAGAGGACACAAAAACACTACATCAAAAGGAAACGTGCATTCCTACATTTATTGCAGCATTATTTACAACAGCTGAGATATGGAAACAACCCGAATACCCCAAAACAGATGAAGGGATCAGGAGGATGTGGTCTATAAACACAACGGAATACCACTCAGTGATCACAAAACATAAAACTCATGTCATTTACAGCGACATGGATGGAGCTGGAAGGGATCACGCTCAGAAGGAAAAAGATATCAGATGGTTTCACTAACATGTGTAATATGGAGAAAACAAACAAAGGGTCAGGAGAAAGACAAAACTTTGCAAGCTGACCACAGATCTGAGGCTGCAGCAGGGAACTGGAGGGGGCAGGGTCAAAATAGCAGAGGGAAGAGCACAGGGGACTGTGGAGATGGATCAGGGGGCTGTGGTGGGAGAACCACAGGGACTAGACCGGAGAGGAGAAATCAAATACTGCAGAAAAGTTAACAAAGATTGAAGAAAATAAATAAATGCATTTATGCATAAAATAAAATGGTCTTTCAAAAAAAAAGGAGTGTTTCAGAAAAGGTGGGACTCTTCCATGAGGTTGTTTATTGCTAATCACAACCATTTTCAAAAGAGGATTCAAAAGACTTCACAGTGTGTCCTCAGCTGTGTAGACCACACAGACTCGTGGCCATAGAACACCGTGGGGACCAGGGCTACGAAGCATAGCTGCGGGGGCCCATCACATGGGCAAGTGTCTCTGAACCCATCAAAGGGTTCCCCGTGGTCACCCAGTGGAGACAACGGGTGAGTTTTCTTAGCGTGTGACAGAGGGGCACCCCGAGGCCCCCAAACATATACCCTCTAAAGGGTTCAGTCATCCATGCTCACAAAGGCAAAATAGACTTTTAGTGTAAAAGAACTTTAATAATAGAATTAGTGTCACAGACAGGGAAGAAAGCAGAAGAGTTTCCCAAGAAAACACCCCAAATGATCAGTCCCCTCCTGGGTAAATGGGTCAGATCAAGTGGGGCCACTGAGGTCTGAAATCTTGCCACAACTTCTGCAGGGAAGCCAAGCCAAAGGGTCCTAAAGCAGTTCCAGAAAGTTGAGACAAAAGGAGACGCCACATGAAGATAAGGGCTGCCATTGTCCTCCCCCGTGTCTCACTCACATGTCATTCCTCCACCTGTCTCCTTCCTCATGTTCTGCCCAGGAGAGCCAGGGTGCTAGCAAGGGAGCAGGAGAAGAGCTGTCTCTTTCCTTCCTCATCCTCTCCTAGCCTGCCTGAGGGCCCTGCTGTAGAGCCTCACCTGGGGCTCAGCTCCCCCTTGTTCCCAGTGGCTAGTCCAAGGCGGCCGCACATGTGGGGCAGGGAACATGGTCCCTCCACCTTTATGGAGATGCTGCTGCTACAGGCTCCAGCTTCCTGCTTCTATACAGTCTAGAATTGTCTGAGATTGAGCAGCTTTTAACTTCTTCTAAGGGAAGAAATGAATTCTTAATCCACCCCTGCTGTAGGAGTTGGCTGAGCAATGAATGCAACACTAGGAAAACCATCCATCTACAGATTACTGATTATCATCTGATTGTGACCCCCAACACTCCTGAAAGAGTGGGGTGCATCCTTTCAGAGGAAGTCCCTGGGATTCTGAGCACCTGGCCTGGATTCTCTAAAAATGTTGCCCTGGACACTTAAAGGACATTCAACCTCCTGGGAAAGCCCCCGGGTACAAGTCACACCAACAGAGGCTCCACACAAGCAGGCAGAGCCACCCAAGGTCAGACCACACGTCACCCACACCCAGCACAGCAGGGGACTGAGTGAGAACGGGTTCATCCCTCCAGCTGTGGGTGACAGCCATGCTGTCAATGGGGTCCTAGCATTCCAGACCTACCCTGGTGATTAATTTTCTATTGTTGGGACCTGTGTCCACCTGGACACTAGAGGGCGCACTCAGCCTGCTGGACCTGCAGACATTGCTCCCCTCCCCTAAAATTCCTTAGACTTTGGGCTTTCCAATTACACCAGATTTGGCTGATTTCCTTTACTAAACAAATGTCACTGTACATTTATCATGTCTCATGTTGCTTTTTAACGATGAGACACAAATGTGTAATGGAAATTAACGCAGTTAAAAGGAAGCATACTGAATTAAAATGGTAGTGAATAATCTTTGTTCAAGAAATAATAAATTTCTTACACAGCTTTTTATTTTAAGGTAAAAAAATCTTTCTGTTCAGGTTCTTCGAGTGTTTTGTTTGTTTACTTCACTTAATCTTTTTGCTTTTGGAGTTATTTTTCTTTTTTTTTAATTTAAAGATTTATTTATTTATGCACAAGAGCTGGGGTGCAGTCCAGAGGTGTTGGGGTGAGAGGATTCACCAGAGACAGAGAGGGGAACAGAACAGGCGAATTGACTGAAAAACACTGCTGAGGGGAGCAGTGGGCAAAAGAGGAGAGGGCTGCTGCACCATGTCGGTCACCTCCCTGGCTGGGGATGGAACTCCTGCTACAGTGGCTTCAGATAGCTTCAGAGTGATGATGTTAACCCTTTGTGCCAGCAGGAACACCCTGGAATTATTTTTCTGTTTTCTGCTTTGATTTTGGTCCAAATACAAAGCTTCAGGGGCCTCCCTGGTGGCACAAGGGGTTAAAATGCGGCACTATGAAGCTATCTGTAGCCACTACAGCATGAGTTTGAACTCAGCCTGGGAAGTCACTCACATGGCACAGAAGACCTCTCCTGACTAGCTCACTGCTCCCCTCAGCAGTGTATTTCAGTTAGTCTGCATGTTCTGTTCCCCATTCTCTCTCTGGTGAATCCTCTCAGCCCCCACAACTGTGACTTAGATCCCAGTTCTTGTATGCATAAATAATAAATAAGTCTTTAAAAAAAAAAAAAGTCATACAATAGAATAAATACCAAGTCAAATTGCGAACTACATAGAAAATATCAGACAAAATCAAAGGCAATTATGAACTCCAGGGAGAAGAGAAAGTTATGCAGCAGCTACAAGGACTAATATTTACATATGAGAGCACTAGTCATGGAAAAGAAAATACTGAATCACTCAACTAAATATAATCACTCTATGAAGGAATGGGAAGAATAAAAGAAAAAAAAACAGTATCTACTATTAACAATCACATCAGTCACAGATGGATGCCACAACCATAAAATCAAGCAGCAGTGCTAAAGACATGGAATTTAGGTATATGAGAGTAAAAAGCCAACAGAATCATCTAAAATATTGAAAATAGTTACCTGGAGGAAGGCAAAAGCTGAGAAGAGGACTACAAGGGTGTCAATTTCAAGAGAAATCTTACACAAATATTTGCATCTTAATTACTGACAGTTGTGACTGATTCGAATAAAAGCAAAAAGTTGCCTGAGTATGAAGTTTACTTAATGACAACTGAGTACAAAGGACACTTGCAGGTAGCTAAAATGCAAAAATACCAGAATGCAAGCCTGAATGCTGAATGACATCAACCCTGAATAAAAACATGAAAAATATGTCAACACACACAATCTGAAAAGATGTATCACTGAATTCTCTTTTCCAATTTCCTTGCTGTTCACCCTGTGAAACAAGGTAAGGGGAACATCATCCTCCTCTTCCTTCCAGGCAGGTCTTGCTGCCCACTGGGCTCCCCTCTAATGTTAGGTTTGTGGGTGGTGCCCCCCACCCCAGTGCTGTCATCAGTGTTTAACCAGCACAGCGGTCATTCCTGACCAAGAAGAGTACCAACTGTCTGTGTGTACCCCTGAAGTGAGAAAGCACTGATTCTCAGATGGAGAACCTCTCATCTCCCTTGCAGAAATGTCCCTCTTGCAGAAACCTACAGAACTAGCGGGGAGATGCTGGGGCTGTGTGTGCTCCTCCACATCCCTGTTCACTTCTTTTCCCCTCCACTCAGTCCTCACATGCCCAGAAGCCACTTCATCCAGCGGACTGGTCCCTGTTCTGCATGGTGTGGCTGTCACAGGGCAGGGGGAGGGGCACCCCAGGAACCACCAAATCTGCCTGCTAAATGACTTCTGCCATCTGCCTCATCAACACAAATCATAACCTAGTGCATGAGACCTTCCCTGCAGAGGAAATTTAGTACAATTAGTGTGGAACAGAAAGAAGTAAAGAAGAGTTTCCAAATCAAACACGCAAAATCACCCATCCCCTCACAGGTAAATGCCCAAACAAGATGGGTTGAAAACAGGACTGCTGAGGCCCAAAATCTTGCCACAAGTCTCTGGCACCTTCTGGTGTGGAACTATAGGAAAGGGAAAGGGGTGGAAGGGGCCAGGCAAGTCTTCAAGGAAAGGAGAAAAAAATCAAAACTGAATCAAGTAAAGGCTGCCTCCCCACGCCTCTCACCCACGTTTCTATCTCAAGTGTCTCCTGCCATGTCCCCATTGCTGGTAGAGCCAAGGCCAAGGAGTAAGTGCAGCTTCTTCACATGTCTCTGCCCCTGTCCCTTGTCCAAGTCCTCCTCATGCTCCCCTTCCTGCCTTCTCCTGGTCTTCTCTAGCTTCTCCTCCCTGCTCAACCCCAACCTCCTTCCCGGCAGGCGTGTAACCCTGGGGATTACCCTGTCACAAGGTCACCCCAATGCAGTGTCCCTGTCTCCTCCTGAGATCAGCTCTGCTCCATCACTTGAGCTCCCACCATCGGGGCAGATTCCTCCAGGCTCAGCCCCTGAGCATTGGCCCCAGGCGCCCCATTCCAGCCTCTCCAGCCCTTTGTGCTTTCCTGTGAGTCTGGCAGGACTGGGAGCTGGGGAGCGGGAGCTGGGGATATGTTAGTGCTCTATCTACCTCTCCATCTCCCCACAACCTCATACTATCCCTTCCAGCCTCATGAAATAATACACACAACAGATATGTATGTTCAAAGATTTATAATATAAAATGTAAAATACTGTACAAAGGAATCTACAGGTATACACACACACACACACATACATATATATATATATATATACACACACACACACACACTATATACATATATTACATGAGCTGCACAGAGATACAAAGTGGCAGAGCACAAAGGAAAGTTGGTGTGAGAACCCTCAAAAGGTACCAGAGGAAAGACAATTACAAAGAATGCTGTTATCTAATTCAGATGAGAAAAGGGAGGCACCAAGAGAAAATGCTGGTGAGAGGAGCGCGGGCAGTGAGTCCAGGCGGATGTGCAGATGCTAAGAGCCCGCAGTTGAGTCCATGGACTCAGGCGCTCACAACAGAGGCTGAGAACCCTGAGGCCCAATTGCGTGAAGGTCCGTTGTCACCACTTGGCTCAGGTCTTGCAGACTACTGGGTCCTGGGAAAGAGACACCAGTAAAAGCTCATGGTTGCAGATTACTGTCTTCTGTTCCTTCGGGAATTCCCCTTTGGTTGCTCCTGACTCCACCACAACATCACTTGTCCCTGCGCCCAGCACCACCACCAGGTGAGAGCTTGAAAGGGTCAGACTGAAGGACCAGATCCAGAAGCAGAAACCCAATGCCCCCCTCTCCAGCCTGGTCTTCCCCTATCAGTGCCAGGGTCCCTGAGAGAGAGGTCAGCCCTGGCCTCCAGGCCTGGGGGTGCTCACACCTGGGAACTCCTCTCCTCAGCTCCCAGACTCCTCTCCTCACAGCCACCTACACCCCAGGGCCTCTGCCTGCTCCCTTCCCAGCCCCACACACCTGACCTCTCCTGCAGCTCAGCCTGCTCCTGCCCCAGGCCTGACCAGCAGCTCCTAACTGCATGGCCATCGGCATCTCAGGTGACGAGTTAGGTGGCTAATGGACCCTGGAGCACATCACACAGGTCAGCCCTGCCCAGAGGCTCGCAGCCCCTCAGGATCTCAGGCCACACTTGGCCCTGGTGCCTGGAGTCTGAGCTCCACCCCATGCTGCTGCCTGGCTGAGGCTCCCAGGCCCTCCCTCCTGTCCAGGCACTGGCTCACAGCCTTAGGGGGTCTGCTTCTCAGTGCAGTGAGGGTCTCTGGAGACCCCTAGCCTGAGGCTATGTCTGTCCTCTGACCCTGGACTGTCAAGTGTCACCATCCCCCACCTCCCATCTGGAACCCTCTTAAACAGGGAGCTCCCCAGAGAACTCCTGTTTACTGTATACACATCACAAGACCCGGCAGTGGAGGAAACCCTATGAAGGCTAACCAATGAACAGTCATAAGCATCTGCTTTGGACTTCAAAGTTCAAAGAAGGAAATTGGGAAATTAGCTCATGACTTTCATATTCTTGCACCCAAGTCTCAATGACAAAAGCAGCAACATTCTGACCCAAGGGAAAGGGGTGTCAGGCAGATGAGCAGGAGACCCACAGACCTGCCCACCTAGCCCCTTGCTGTGGGGCTCAGAGCCCTCTCTCCATAGAGTTTAATCCTCCCACTAGGTCACAGATGCTCTTATTGCTTGTTAGCCCGAGTCAAGGATCACCCAGCCCCACCCCCAATGTGCCCATGGTTCCCACACACCCCCACAAGCCCTGGGGAGCCTGAGAGCAGGGACAAGCCTGAGGAGACTGAGCAGGGGACACGGCCTCTGACTTCCCATACACCTCCCCGGAGGGAGAGCCAGGCTGCACACTCACAGCCCTGGCTCTGGGCAGGGTTAAGGGTACAGAGGTGGCCCCCAAACCCATCACAAGGACCCCACTTCCAGCTCCTGTTACAGAGGCCAGTCATTCCTCTCCTAGCTGCAGAGTGGGAGACATGACACCCTGGTCACAGGCAGAAGAGCCCCTCCCTCACCACCCACAGCCCGTATCTCACCTGATGTTCCCCAGCTGATGTCTTCCTGAGCCAAAATTATGAAGAAGGACAGCAGCAACAAGGACAGTGACAGCAGCAGCGACAGCGATACACCAATAAATAGCTGGCCATGGACGCTGATGCACCTGCACCTTTCCTAGAAAAGGTCTTATTTTAACCTGGGCACCCAGAGCCAACGCCTGCTCTCCACCCCCATCCTGGCCCCTGGCCTGCAGGGTCCAACCCCCACAGGTCACCCCAGGCTCACCACAGGTCACAGTGCAATTCCAGTAATGTTCCACGGAGCAGGTGACCCTCTGCTCCTCTCCTTGGGGAATCCTTAGGGCCACCCAGGCCCAATAGGTCCCAGTCTCATCACGCAGGACACCCCCAGGAAGCTGGGCATCTAGGCTCAGAGGCTCATCGTCCTGCAGCCAAACCGGTGAGATATTCCAGGGAGAGAAGCCGGATGCCCAGCAGGTCACGTTGACCATGCCCTCTGAGTACAGGCTGCAGGTGGCATTCACAGCTGGGGGCACCAGGAAGAAAGCACAGAGTCAGTGAAACACAAGGCCAAACCCTGCTCCCCAGTGAGGGAGACAGAGAGAAGGAGAGACCGAAGTTGCTCTTCCCCACCTCAATCACCGAGCCCGGCCTTCCCCAGGTGGTTCTACACCCTGGGGCCCAGCTCTTCAGGCTGGTGGGAGGATGGCCTGGGACCCACATGCTGAAGCGGAGGAGAGGGACAGGAGGGGTGGTCGCCTGCACGGGGGGGAGGGGGTGACCAGGAGGGATTGACAGGCTGGGAGCTAGCGGGTGACGTCCAGCCTGAGGTCATCCCCTCCTTCCTGACCCCCACGCTCCAGCTCAGTGCTCTGTAGCTCCTAGAGTCGATGCCCTCCCCGCCTCATGTCTTCACCCAGGGGCCATAACAGCGCAGGCACCTCACGACACCATACCCCAAGACCATTCAGGCAGCCCATAGTACAGAGGGACCCTTGGGCAGAGCGAGAGACGGGCTAGGGGTTATGGGGTGCCCAGAGTCTCACCTGTTCTCTTAGTGAAGGCCTTCCAGGATTCCCGGTATCTCCGCAGTTTTCCACAAACGTCACCACGCACAAGGGTCCAGGAATTCTGGTTTCCATCCTGTCTGTGTCCCAGGATTTCTTGACTTCCACAGCCAAGGGATGAACCAAGGACTGGGGTGCTTCCCATTCATGAGTCGTCTCGTTATAGAAGAGGAAGGGCTCCCCATTATAGAAGAAGCGCCTGAAGGCCCTGGTAGTGTCTTCCTGGATCTCACAGCCCCGAACCTCCTGGAGGGAACGGGAGCCTACCCCCAACACAGACCCAGTGGTGACTCCCCCAGTCCCGTGTCCCTCTGCTCCCCCACGGGAGAAACTCACACCCCCACCCCCTCACTCTCCCCACCTCTCCCTGTGCTGGCTGAAGAGACATCACCTCTGTGCTGAAATCCACACACCCCCCTTCTCAACCCCCCACAGCAAATCCAGTGGAAAGAGACAGGCCCCATCGGCTGCCCTAACTGTCCTGGGAAAGGCCCCCATGCTTGCCCCTCTCACCTCCACTCTGGCTCTGCTTTTCCCTGATATCTGCCAGCTTCATCAGGAGGCCCCTCCTGTCCTCTGTGAAGCCACTGGTCACTGTGTCCTCCGGCTCAGCTCCCAGGATAACTCGTGCCAGCAGGCCTGGGGTCTCGGGCCTGTTGTTCCCACCGCTGTAGCGCAGGATGAGCTGATGGTCCAAGTATTCCTTGGCAACGAATTGCGAGTACAGTGTTGCATCCTGGGTCCCCGTGAGCTCATACTGAAGCCTGTGGGGTCCTGGGGGGAGAAATCCTCAGTGAGGCAGGTAGGAGCTACCTGAGCTTCAGAGTCACCCAAGGCTGCGCGTCCTGAGCCCTGGAGGCCTGGGGGCTGCAGACAGGGCTGTGTTCGTAGGGACAGGAGGAGGATTCGCAGTCCAGGACACCAGGCAAGGAGAAGGAAGGAGAGGGCCCAGGGAGGGGCAGGGAGGGGCCACTTGGGGAGGGAGAGCACAGGGACGGGGCGATGGACCAAGGGGACTGCACCTGAGAGGGGAAATCAAATTCTGATCAAAAGTTAACAGCTAGGTAAGAAAATAAATCTAAGAAAAGGAAGGAGAAAAAAGAAAAGGAAGGAGAGTGTTGAGGGTAGAAAAGAAATGGAGAGGGGAAACATGGCGTCAGAGGCCAGAGAGGGGGCACCGGGTCCCTAAGAGAACTGCGGGGTCTTATCAGAGAGTAGGGAGGGGTCTAGGGCAGGAGTCAGAGGTCACTTCAGCTGTGGTGTGGGGCGGGGAGGGCGACATGAGCCAGGCGGGGCTGTGGTTCCTCAAGAACAGGTTGGGGAGGTGGATGAAACCTGCCTGGGGCCCAGGGAGAGGCAGGTGCAGGGACTGGGAGTCAGCCCGTGGGTCCAGGGAGAGCAGAACTTCAATGCCCAGCAGGTGGCCAGGGCACAGGAGGGGAGAGGTGCAGTCTGGTGCTGATGCAGGCGGCGATGAGGCCCCTCCACAAAGGGGGGTTGCAGCCATCAGGCAGCGGGTGGGTGAAGGCCCTTGGCAGGGAAAGGCTGCACAGGGTGGCAGATCTGTGGTGTGAGGAGCGAGAGCCCACTGGGGTCAAGGAACCCAAAGGGGTGAAGGCTAGAGGAACAACATCAAGAGGAGCTCTCAGGTCTGGGAAGGGCAGAGGTTGTAAGAGAAAGGGCAGCTGGGAGATTGGTGCTGAGGGCCAGGACTGGGGAGAAAGATGAGCAGGGCCTGCGTTGAGGGGGGGGGGGGGGAACAACTGGTTGCTGACCAGAGAGGAGGGTCTGGGTGAGGACAGGATGGGCAGGGAAGGGCCCGAGTGAGGGCCCAGGAGCAGGAGCTGCACTGGCTGGAGGCGGGAGCTGAGGCCAGAAGACAGGGTAGGTCTGTGCCCAGGGGCTGTGCCTGCAGTCAAGGCAAAGATACTGAGCTCCCAGGCTCTGCTGGATGAAGGGGTGCAGGCAGGACTAGCATGGAGGGAGATACCTGAAGCAAAAAACACCTCAGAAAGCAGGGCTTAGTAAAATGGGGGAGGTAGGATCCATCAGGTGAAGGCTCCTGGCAGGCAATGGTGCAGGAGGGAGGAAAAAAATGAGTGAAGAAGAGGACGACACCCTAGAACACAGAGAGGAGGGACAGCAGGGAGGGGGGCAGCAGGGATGGGGGATAGCTGGAAAGGGGGGCAGCTGGAAGGAGGGGAAACAGAGAAATGGAAGGTGGCAGGAAGGTGAGAGTGTCAGGGAGGGGGAGCAGCACGGAGGGGGGCAGCAGGTGAGACCCGAAAGGTGGGGGGGTGGGGGGTGGGGGGCGTAATGGAGTAGGAGGGGTCCACATGCAGGACAGAAAAGAACTGAGAGACTGTTAAGGCAGCCTGGGAGGGCGGGGCATGGCCCGCATGCAGGCCACAACTTCACTGCTTAAATAAAGTCAATGCATCAAAAAAATATACACCAATGTATCAGGAGGGCATGCAACCAACCAAATCACCCATGACCTTCCTCAAGAACATCCCAAAGGCCACGGCCCTCCTGAGAGGGTCCCCAAGACAGCCAGGGGACCCCTCTGGGACCCCGGAACGGCCCAGGCTCCTGCCCCCCCAGGACCAACGACCCCCACTCACCTGCCCCCAGGGCTACGGCGGGGACAAGGGCAGCCAGAAGCAGAACTGGCCACGGCCCCATCCTGCATTGGCCTCCGGAGGCGCCGGCGACCAGACCCGCCGCCCCCCGAAGCACCGGCAGCCAGAAGCGCGCCCACCTGGACATTTTGCGTGACCACTCTGGGTGACACCGGCAGAAGCATCTGCAGATCTGGAACCCTAGTCCCCCGCCCAGAACAGGCGCCAGTGCTCGCCCACCAGCAGCGCCACCAATCAGAGGAGCCAAGAGCGCCACACAGGGGCCGGGAGAGCCCGGAGGACACACCCCACAGGAAGTCAGAAAACTATAGAAGTAACCCTTAAAGTAGAGAAAAAGTCTGAAAATTCACACCACAGAAAAGTCATAACAGAAAAAACCACAGAAGTCACAAAAACCACCCACAGGAAAGTCATAAGAAACAAACCACAGAAAAAGTATCTGAAAAATCTTAGACAGAAAAGTGGCATAGGCAGCTGAAGGCACAGAGGGCTGAACACTGAGGGCTGAACACCAACGCCTTAGGAGGAGACAGGGCGGGGCCAGCAAGGGCAGGACCTTGGCTGCCCACGACCAGCCCTCCGGCTGCCTCTCAACTGTTTTCCCAGCATTTCCTGCCCCTCCCGCAGCCCCTCTAAGGAAAGAAAAAACAGAACAACAAAAAAAAAAAGGTGGAGGGAGGAAAACAAAGACTCGGGACCCAGGGTCCGGAGGTCTGTGCAGGGGAGAAAAAATGGACAAAGCTACAAGAGCCTGAATTTAGGATCCCAAAGTCCCAGGAACCAGCTCTGAGTAGTTGGGAGGGGCCCAACCCCAGCAGCCCCCGATCACTGCCCCTGCTCCCTCCACAGAGCAAGGCCTCCCCCAGCTCCTGAGGAGACTCCAAGGAGCCTCTCCTGCTCCCCCTCCTCTGCACCAGGTCAGGGGCAAAGTCACCAGAGACTAGAAGTGCGGGAACAATGCAGATCTCTGCCTCCTGGCGTCTTGGGAAGCCACTTCTAAGCTCAATCCCTCAGTCTCCAAACTCTCTAAGCTGCCAAAGCCCCACAGCCATTATGATCTTCTCCTCCTCCCTCCCCCCTTCCAACTCCCTGGGCAGTGCCCACGTGCAGGCAGGTGTCAGAAGCCCTGGTCTAGTGCATGATCTGACCCTCCCTGCTCTTTCCTTAGTAACTGTCTTTCATCACAGGGGTGTAAGCTAAGAGTGCAGGAGGTGGAGGGAAAGTGTTTTCTCCCCCACCCCCAAGGAGAGCAAAGGGATTAAGGGAAGACCTGAAGGTGGAGGGAAGGGGTTTCATTGTCCTGGTGGGCAGGAGTCAGGGGCCTTTCCAGGAGGTTGGTGGGGTCCCCTGGGAGGGGTGTGGCTTTTGTGTGTGTGGGGGGGGGCTCTTGAACCCATCTACCATCCTACCGCCCCACTAATTAAGACACGAGCCACTCAGGATGAGGAGCTCTGTCATGTCACCTTTGTCTCCCTGCCCTGCTTTTTATTTTCAGCCTTGAACTCTGCCTGTCTCTACTGGCCTATAAAACCCTGTGTATGGAGGGCCTCCCCGGTGGCGCAGCGGTTTGAGCGCTGGGTTGCGAAACTGCGCGCGGCCTCTGCGGCGCCGGTTCGATCCCCGGCTGCTCCCCGGCCACCAGAGGAGGGTCCCACATGGCGTGCAGACCTCTCCTGCCGCCCGCTGCTCCCCTCAGCAGTGTACTTCGGTCCTTCTGCCTGCTCTGCTCCCCGCTCTGGTGAATTCTCTCACCCTCCCGCGCTTCTGACTGTACCCAGTGCATGTATAAACAAAACAAACAAACACAAGCAAACAAATAAATAAAGCATGCCTCTATAAAAAAAAAAAAAAAAAAAAAAAACCCTGTGTATGGAAAAGTCATGGTGCACAGTTTTAAACAATTTCTTAGTTTTCAGATTCACTTTATCATTAATTACTCGGCCCCCATCATTTCCCCCCCCCATGAGGGATGGCGTCTCAGGGATTTTCCCTTGCCCAAGTCACAAGGAAGAATGGGAGCTGTATCATTTCCGCCTGATGTTCTGCCCAAGCTTTATAAAAACCCACAACCCATGTTACTTGGGGCTCAGTCCTTTCAGAAATAATCTGCTGACCCCTCGTGTGACTGTTGTTGTGTTTTTGGAGTCAGTGGGTTTGGAGTGCAGGGTCCTTGGGTTCACTCTGGGGAAGAGCTCCCGTTTCAGCCACACGCAGCGAGTTTCTCCAGGAGACAGAGACGTTAGTTCTATTTAAAGGGCAGGTTTGTAGGGAAAGGGACAGAAGAATAAAGGAAACTTGCTTAGACACAAGCGGGCAAGAAGAGCTGCTAAGAGGCCTGCATGGTCACAGGTGGGCGGCCTTGAGGAGAGCGGCCTCCACTGAGGGAGGTGAGTGAAGAGAAGCCCCGGCGTGGCACAGGTCAGGGGCAGGCTGGAGGCTGCTGCCCCTGCAGAGGAGAGGTGGTGAAAAGAAGCACCTGCAGAGACACAGGTGGGCAGAGGGAGTGCTGCTCCAAGCCAGTGCAGAGACTGCACTGATAGAGCCTTCTGTTTTGGGAGGGGCTCACCCCTTGTGAGCCTTCCCTTAGCTGCTGATTTGGGAGAACTATGCAGACTAGGAAAGGACCAGATTCTATAGTGGGTTCCATTTCCATATCTTTCCCTTTGGATGCGCATTAGGATGCCTGCTTGGATGTTATGCTTTGTAATCTGGGCATCTAAGGATCCCCTAAGGATCTTAGTTTCTATAACTGTGTTGTCTGTGTGTAAGGATCTGGGTTTCCATAGCTGTGTCAATGGCTGTGCTAATCTCTTCTGCCCCCATTTCCGTGTGTGAGCAGGTTTCTGGTCTTGTGGTGCTTCCTTTCCAGTTTTTTTTTTCCTATTCTTGTCTTCCATCATGACGAATAAATCTCTCTCTCTCTTCCACCTCTCCAGCTGAGCAGTCTGGCTTCTACGGGAAACTGCCATAACAAGGACAGAGGCAGTAGAGAGGGAGAGGGAGCCCAGCTCTGCTAACTTCCAAAGGTGACTCGTGTCCACCCCCCTTCTCAGGACTTCCGAGGTGTGGCAGCGCCAGGAGACTCTCTGCTTACACTCAACGCCAAAAGACTTGTAATAATTTAAAAATGGAACCTCCCTGGTGGAGGTTTAAATCTGGTGGAGTTTAAATCTCAGCGCTATCAAGGGCCAGAGTTGATCCGGTCCCCCCAGAAAGCTGAACCACAGGGCTCAGCAGACCTCTCCTGTCTGGCCCCCTGCTCCCCTCAGCAGTGTATTTCAGTAGATCCACCTGTTCTGCTCCCCACTCTGTCTCAGGTCCCTCCTCTAACCTTCCCTACCTCTGACCTACACCCTAGTTCTTTTATGCAAAAATACAATTTAAAAAAATAATAATTTAAAAATGGTAATACTGGAGATGGGCCCATTCTGGACTCTCTGGTCCCTTTCTAGTTTTGCCTAGATATCCAAAATCAGCAACAGGCTACTCCAGGGAGGAGTGATCCTTCCCAAAGAGAAAACGACTGTATCAGTGCAGTCTCTGCACAGGCTGGGGCAGCACTCCCACTGCCCACCTGTGACGATGCAGGTGCCTCTTTTCACCCACTCTCTCCCTCCGCAGGGCAGCAGCCTCCTGCCCGCCCGTGACCTGTCAAGGCCGCCTCTCTGCAACCAGGCAGGCCTCTCTCAGCAAACCTGTCCCTCCTGGGGCAGCTCTTCCTGCCCGCTTGTGTCTATGCAAGTGTCCTTGATTCCTCCCTCTGTCCCTTTCCCTAATAAACCTGCCCTTTAAATATCACTACCGTCTCTGTCTCGTGGAGAAACTCGCCTGGACACTCGCCGCGGGCCGCTGAAACGGGCGCTCTGGTGACACCTTTCCCAGAGTGAACCCCAGGACCCCGCACTCCAAACCCCCTGACTCCAAAAACCACATCAGGACCAATAACACTGTTAGGTGTGTGGCCCAGCGTGTCACAGATGCTGCTTTACGAGAGAAAGCAAATCCTACTCCTCCTGGGAGGGTGGGGGAGGCCCTGAGGGTCTAGGGCTCTGGATTGGGGGCGCTCCCGGGATCGAGCTGGGGCTCCCCTCCCCCGCGAGGCCTCAGAGGTTTTCTGTCCTACAAACGCTTCCCCGCCCCCACCTGCCTCCAGGCCCTCTGGGGCTGCCCCCGGACGCCTTTTTCTCCTCCGCTCACCTCTGGGCTCCTGGAGTCACGAGCTTGGGGCTCTTCCTCCCCGTGAGGACCTCGTCGCAGCCGCTGCGGATTTCATCTCAAAAAATGGAGACTGACGCGGAGCGAGGCTGGGCGCTGCGGGGCGGAGCATGAGGGAGAGACTGAAGCTCGCCCGCCCCCAATCGTGGCGGAAGGAAACCGGTTTATTTCTTTACACAACAGCAGAGGGAGGCGCTTGGAGCCGGGCGGGGAGGGGCGCGCGGCCCTCGGGTGTCTGGTTCGCAAACCGCGGGGCTGTCCCTCCCGCAGTCGCGACACTGCGCAGCCCGGGGAAACTGCAGCCGTTACAAGGAACAGGACAGACATCACAGTATTGCTATAAAAAGATGTGCCTGTTCTTTAAAGCTTTCCCAATGATACCGTTTTGTAGAGTGCAGGGTCCTTGGGTTCACTCTGGGAAAGGTGTCACCAGAGCTCCCGGTTCAGAGGCCTGCAATGAGTTTCTCTCCACGAGACAGAGACGATGGTCATATTTACAGAACAGTTTTATTAGGGAAAGGGAAAGAGACAGGTTTGCTGAGAGAGGCCTGCGTGGTTGCAGGCGGGCGGTTTTGAGGAGAGCTGCCTCCAGGAGGGAGGTCAGTGAAGAGAAGTCCTGGCGTGGTGCAGGTCATGGGCAGGCAGGAGGCTGCTGCCCTGCGGAGGGAGAGAGCTGGTGAAAAGAGGCACCTGCATAGTCCCAGGTGGGCAGTGGGAGTGCTGCCCCAGCCTGTGCAGAGACTGCACTGATATAGTCCTCTTCTCTTTGGGAGGGCTCACTCCCTGGAGTGGCTGCTTGTTGCTGATGTTGGGTAACAGGCAAAACTAGAAAGGGACCAGAGATTCCAGGGTGGGCCCAATCTCCATATCTTT